AAACTCTGAATCGAACAAGTCATAACTAAACAGATGAAAAAACCTTCAATTATAATTTTTTATGTCTGTGTTTACTACCTACAAGAGGTAAAAAAGTATATGTCTGTCTTTACTACCTACAAGTGGTAAAAAGTATATTTCAATTGCTGTTACATGTTTCCTGTGTGCTACTATGCTTGGAAATAAATGTTTGTATACTGTAGTAAGAATGTGCATTAAATTTATTTGAAGTCCTGAAAATTTGCAAAGAAATATCACTTATCTGGACTTAGAGATGTTAAATAATTTATAAAACATGTTTAAGATGTAAAATAACCATTCAGTATAAAAATGGCCTTGTGTGCGGAACCGAGTCCACTATTTATCATATTTGGCCCATTCCCACGCCCGTTTAACTCACAACGAGTGAAAAATGTCCATCGGTAAAAATGTTGTGAGCAACTTCCATTCCTCGTTGTGAGCACCCATCTATGACGAGTGACACGATAAACAAGGTGAGTTTTTCATAATTTTTGAAGATTACATACATTTATGTAAAAATATCGGAATGCAGTTAGCTAGCGATGTGTTTTCCGAGTATGCACATGTAAAAATATTGCCTGTTGGTGGACAATTTGATGGAAATACCGTGCGACGCAGCCACTCGGGGTAGCTGGAAAACTGGAGGCAACTTCTCTTTGGACCTAATTTAACATTGAAAACGTCGATTCTGGTGACGTTTTGTGCATTCTAACCTAAAACAGATGCCCACAAGTCTTCAGCGTAAATTATTATCTGAAAGTCTTCGTAGAAACGAAGATATACTCTTTTTTGCTTTAATCCTCGTTGTGAGCACCATCAGGGTTGCCAGCATCATAGATAAATAAAATTCCCTGACTTTTCCCTGACTTTTCACTGACCAAATTAGGTTTTTCACTGACTAAAACTACCAAACTTAAATGGTCTCCACCTCCCCTACTGCCGTCCAATTCACCCCAGGGCTTTTTGGTCTCCACCTCCCCTACTGCCGTCCAATTCACCCAGGGCTTTTTTTCCTTCTATAGCAGGGGCCATTTTAGGAGTGTTTCCCCAAAAAGAATTTTTTTTTAAAATCATGCAGTTTTCCCACAAAATATAATTTACATCAAGTTTTTTCTTCCCCTTTTGCAAATATACCATTAATGTATCCCCAAAATTAAGGACAGGGCTGCTTCCCCAACCTATGAAAAAAAGCCCTGCACCCATAAGTTTTTTTGTTGGTTTTTTTTAATGCTTTTAACAATATGGTCAATAAAACACGCTTTATACATCTAAGTTTGGTATTTTGTGTTCAGTAAAATGTTTTTGATAAGATCAAGTCTGAAGCAAAACTATTATCTTGAGCTACAGAATACTGACATAGCCAATATAATTAATAACAAGAGGGTCATGATGGCCCTGAAATTACTCATCTGAATATAAAAACTCTCCATGAACAAGAATAATTTTGACCCCAGGGCGTTGATTTGAACAAGGTTGGTAAACACCCATTGGAAAATGTTTCATGCCAAATATCTAAGCTCTAGCTCTTTTGTTTTTTAAAAGAAGACTTTTTAGTTTTTACTATAATTATATACATATAAGGAAAATTAATGACCCCCATGACTGGACCAGTTTTGACCCCAGGGCTTTTATTTTAACAAACTTGGTAGACACTTACTAAAAGATGTTTCATGCCAAATATCACAGCTCTACCTCTATGGGGTTTTCAAAGAAGATATTGTTTTGTTTTTTTTACTATGTACATAAAAGGAAAATCAGTAACCCCCTGGGGTGGGGCTTACTTTGACCCAAGGACTTTTATTTGAATAAACTTGGTAGACACACACTAGAAAATATTTCATGCTTAATATCTAAACTCTAGCTCTTTTGGATTTGTTACAAGAATTTTTAAGTTTATATAAACACATAAGGAAAATCAATGACCCCCTTGACTGGGCAAATTTTGACCCAAAAGCTTTTATTTGTACAAAATTGGTAGACACTCACTGAAGATGTTAAGCTCTAGCTCTTAAAAGAGGTGAACATGTTTTTTTTCCAGATTTTACTTTATACATATAAGGAAAATTCTTCAAAATTATTCTTCCCTGACTTTTCCCTGACTTTTTAGGATTTTTATTCTTCACTGACCAATTTTCAAAATTCCCTGACAATTCCCTGACCTTGAAAAAATATCAGATTTCCCTGACTTTTCAAGTCTGCTGGCAACCCTGACCATAACCTCGTTGTGAGCAAGACAAGTGCAGTGCTTGTCTGGTTTTAATATGTAATTCAAATGGCAAGAATACAATTTTCAATCTACCAAAAGCAATCAAAACGTTTTTGTACAATAGTTTTTCTTTGCAATAGTTCTTCTTTTTCTTTTATTGAAAATTATTCTTCATATTCACAAGTCATCAAATTAACAGAAGAACTAAATCAGTGGAGGTAAATCAGGTATTTTATTTCGTATACTCTAGTGTGGCACGAGTGAACATCACGGGGTGTTTATGAATATTTCAACAATTTCACAATCTGTGTGATACACACATACATATGTCTATCCTGAGCTGAAGACTGACCAAGTTATGTAAAACAAGAACTGTCACGGTAAGTTGACAATGCCCCTGAAGTGGTGCTTTGTCCTTTGATTTATGGACCAGATAGATTATTTGATTTTGGATAATTAGATCTTCAATGTGAAGGTAATTCAAGGTCAAGGTGAAATAAATATAGATCAGTTGGAAGGTCTTGTCCAAAGGGGCATTGTGTCCAAATATGAATTAATTCCACTTACTTATAAAGAAGTTATGACCAATGTTAAAGTTTTTGGATGTTCTAGAAGGTAATTCACGGTACAAGGTAAAAAAAATACAGATCAGTTTGAAGGTCTTTGTCTAAAGGGGTGTTGTTTCAAAATATGAGTAGAATCCGTATACTAATAAGGAAGTTATGACCAATTTTTAAGTTTTTGGACAATTTGACCTTTAAGGTGAAGGTCATTCAGGGGTCAAGGTCAAAAGAATATAGGATAGTTGAAAGGCCTTGTCCAAAGATGTGTTGTGCCTAAACATTATGCCAGGACATTATGGCCCATCTTAAATGTTTTTGGACAATTTGACCTTCAAGGTAAAGGCCATTCAGGGGTCAAGGTAAAAAATACAGGTCCGTAGGAAGGTGCTAAGGGATGTTGTGTTCAAATATGAATCAAATCCGTTTACAAATAAGGAAATTATGGCCAATGTTAAAGTTTTCGGACAGATTGACGGCAGGGCCAAAAAACCCTTCTTTGTAGGGGCCGAATATAGGCTACTTCCCCAACCAAACTAGCCTCTTTTTTTCCCCAGTTTGGTCCTCAAAATTCCCCAGTCTTTTGAAATTTCCCATAGAATTTAGAACAAAATTAAATGATGGTGTTGAATTAAGGATTTTGACTGCCTTATTTGTATTTCCCAGTGCTTTTTGCTTTTCTATTTTGAAGAACTTGTTAAAAGTTTGTGTTAAATTTAAGACCCCTTTTCCCAAAGTATGCCAAAATCAAAAATATGCCCCTTCCCCAAAAATGGTGTTTTGGCACTGGACGGACTGACAGACGGACAGTTCAAAACTAATATGCCTCCCTTTGGGGTATGCACAACGTCTTGAAAAGAAGTGCTGCTGTGCAAAAACGTTTTAATTGCTGTGGTAGATTGAAATTATATTTTCACCATCTGAATTACATATTAAAACCATACACGCACTGCGCTTGTCTTGCTCACAACGAGGTTATGGTGCTCACAACGAGGATTAAAGCAAAAAAGGGTATATCTTCGTTTCTATGAAGACTTTCAGATAATAATTTACGCTGAAGACTTGTGGGCATCTGTTTTAGGTTAGAATGCACAAAACGTCACCAGAATCGACGTTTTCAATGTTAAATTAGGTCCAAAGAGAAGTTGTCTCCAGTTTTCCAGCTACCCCGAGTGACTGCGTCGCACGTTATTTCCATCAAATTGTCCACCAACAGGCAATATCTTTACATGTGCATACTCGGAAAACACATCGCTAGCTAACTGCATTTCGATATTTTTACATAAATGTCTGTAATCTTCAAAAATTATGAAAAACTCACCTTGTTTATCGTGTCACACGTCAAAGATGGGTGCTCACAACGAGGAACGGGAGTTGCTCACAACATTTTTACCGATGGACATTTTTCACTCGTTGTGAGTTAAACGGGCGTGATTCCTGTTGCTTAAAATCAAGTGCGCCTAGAAGTATGACCTACTTAAGATAGAAACGTTTCGGTAATCAGTTTTTATGGGCATAGGATGTAATTTTCAAAATAATATCTATTATAAGAAGAATTTTTAACTACAAGATAATTTTCTTAATTTTACTTAAAAAAGTGTACGACTCCGGGTACACTGACTCTAGGTATGATATCATTTATGTGATGATCCTATCCGTACTCTGCATTGCGCGGTTCACTTTGGGCAACTTTAATTAGGGCTCCTTGCCGCTTGTTCTTGTTGCTTGGTAGTTTAGGGGTTGCCTTCATTTAAAGCCGCCTTTCCTTGTTGATGTTGTTTATCATATTTTATAAAGTTCTGTAAGCCAGAACTACCGCTGGGACAACAATAAGCAAAACGGCAAAAGCAACACGTCCTCTCACTTAAATGATGAAAACAGTGGATAGCTAGCATACTGTGTGCACATTTTGATCACACCTGCATAGAGTCTACCCGCGGGGATTCATCCAGAAGTCAGAACGGAAAGCCATTTTTAAGGCGAAATCAATTTAGTTTTGAAAATAAAGTTTGTATGACGAGAACTCTAAACAAATACAAGAAAAACGTCACTCAATATTTTATACAGTAGTCTTAGATCTATTTCGCGCCATAAAAATAAAATGTGAACGCGGCGGCCATTGTAGCAGACGACCAATAAATTATCACATCTATTATGGTAAATGATATCAAATTTAAAAATATATTTATTTTATGTACATCGCTGAAACTTACCAACACGCATAGTATAGAAAAACACACTGAATTGTGTTTCTCCATGATTTCTAACGGAAGAAACTTTTGCGTTGTTGTTGTTGTTTTTTTTTGCAGTTGTTTTCTACCCGCCTTCAGGACAATTACGTCATCACATTATAATGACGTCATACTTAGTGAAAAGCCAGTTCGATTTGTATATTCCTCTAGAAGACGGCAGTGGTTAACTTGTACAATTAGACGTTGAAAATGATATATGGGTTGGTTTTATTGGTTAGCGTGAAATAAATAAATAATTTAACTTCAACTTGAAAAGATTAAATATCTCCATTTTTTACTTAGATAGAATCTAGTAAAACAAAGAATATTTCGACACCAGTATTGGAGGCTGAGCAAATTAAAATTTAATCAAAACTAAATTGATTTCGCCTTAAAAATGGCTTTCCGTTGAATCCCTGCTGGTATAGACTCTACTGTACTAATAATATCTGTCATATGTTGCGGTTCGGACCGTAATATCCGTCCCGAGGGGACCCGCCCATGGGCGCGTTCCCGAGAGACGGATATTCCGATCCGAACTGCAAACATATGAAAGATATTTTTTCTTGCATATTCTGCCATATTATTTCATATTTAAAATGGTTAACCTCAATATGATATATGTTCATGGAAATTAAAGTAATTTCATCCATAACTATTTTCTTACAATAGCGTATGAACTTACAACTTAAATAACAACGGCGAAATGACGTCATCCTAAGCACATATTTCCCTTCTAAAACGACGTCATTTTAACGCGGTTCATTCATAAAGTGCGCTAAAATGACGTTGTTGTTTGCAACGAGTGAGCCACGAGTGAAATATGGACTTTTGGTGTTCACAAGGTGAAATATATTTCGATCTTACACTAAACTAAACAAATTTTCTTTTTATTATATGCAAAGAAACGTTTTAAAAAGATATTAAACCAAATACTGAATGAAAAGCGCGTCAAATAATAATACAACGTGACGTCATTTACGACGTCACGTCATTAAGTTGGTACCCAGTACTGTGAACGCTGATATTTCACTGTAACAACGTAAGGGGCTTAAATTCAAAACAGTGAAATTATCAAAGTGGTAATTTCACTGTTTCAAACAGTGAAATTACCAGTTTTATTTCACCGATATATTTCTATAAACCACCGAAAAGCATGTAATAAAATAGAAATAGTGTATGCGTCTTTTTGTCCATTCCTGAAGGTATGATCAGAAATTATGATCAAAATTTGATTTTCAGCCAGATTCACAAAAAGAGGGCAAATTCTTATTTAAAATGATGTCTACAGTATAGATCTATCACTGGATACTGTCTCAGTGTCAGTGTCAGCGTAGGTGGGAATTTCAGAATTTGATTCTGACGTTTTCTTGCATAGCAGACTGGCGTTTCCGTGAGTTTTACCCATGCCGGAAATTTCATCTGGCATGGGGGGTGCCAGATGAGTCGCGTGCCAAACAACAACGTCATTTTAGCGCCATTTATGAATGAACCGCGTTAAAATGACGTCGTTTTAGAAGGGAAATATGTCTTAGGATGACGTCATTTCGCCGTTGTTATTTAAGTTGTAAGTTCATACGCTATTGTAAGAAAATAGTTACTGATGGAATGACTTTAATTTCCATGAACATATATCATATTGAGGTAAACCATTTTAAATATGAAATATTATGGCAGAATATGCAAGAAAAAATATCTTTCATATGTTTGCGGCTCGGATCGGAATATCCGTCCCTCGGGAACCCGCCCATTGGGCGGTAACGAGGCTTGCATATAAAATATGATATATGTTCATGGAAATTACATATTATTTTATCATTCATAACGGTAAAATGACGTCATCTTTATCGTGCCATTGTACAGCACGCGACAATTGTCTTCTATTGAAAGTCTATTGCATGTTTTAATTCAGATGAGTCGCGTGCTGTACAATGGAACGATAAAGATGACGTCATTTTACCGTTATGAATGATTTTGTAATTCATACGCTGTTGTAAGAAAATAGTTACGGTTGTAATGATATAAATTTTCATTGAAAATAATGATAAAGAATTTAAAATATAATGGCATATAGCAGAATATGCAAGAAAAAATATCTGACATAAACGCAAAGAGCTAGAGCTTAGATATTTTGCCAGAAAACCATCTTCTATTGAAAGTCTATTGCATGTTTTAATTCAGATGAGTCGCGTGCTGTGCAATGGCACGATAAAGATGACGTCATTTTACCGTTATGAATGATTTTGTGATTCATACGCTGTTGTAAGAAAATAGTTACGGTTGTAATGATATAAATTTTCATTGAAAATAATGATAAAGAATTTAAAATATAATGGCATATAGCAGAATATGCAAGAAAAAATATCTGACATATGTTTGCGGTTCGAATCGGAATATCCGTCCCTCGGTCACCCGCCCATGGGCGGTAACTCGGCAAGCCTCGTTACCGCCCAATGTGCGGGTGACCTTGGGATGGATATTCCGATCCGAACCGCAAAATATGACAGATATTATTAGTCCATAACATTGTTATATGATCAAATTAACATAGATTGCAAAATCAATTGTTCATTTGAAGCAGCATAATTTTTATGTCATATATATGATACATGCTTTCAAAGGACAAAGGGGTAGATCTAGCATTGTTTGCATGTCCCGAGCTAATTAACCGTTCATCATTTTCATCATCACACTTTAATTTTGCAGATCTACCCTCATTTATCATAAGTTAGGACTTTAAAAAATGGCTATTGCAATATCAAATACCATTTGTGATTTTAAAAAATCTGTACAAAAATATCTCAGGGAATAGAGTTTCCTCCATAACGATTTTGGCAACCTAGTACTTATCCATGGCTTATGATATCTGTGTTCCATTCATGTTTTAATTCAACATTGTTTCAGTTTTATCAGAAAATGAAAATCTCAAAATAAATATTTTTACAGTCGGTTCATTTTTACTTAAAAATGTTTGTAATCATCAATTTCCTCCGTAACAAAACCAAGTCTGAAATTTTCATGTAATATTGCGGTTTTTAGCTTTCCTGTCACAAAGTGACATGGTGAGCTTTTGTGATTGCTTTTTGTCCGTCTTCCGTCCGTAAACTTTTTACGTAAAAACAACATCTCCTCACAAACCGCGACAAGCCTCGTTACCGCCCAATGTGCGGGTGACCTTGGGATGGATATTCCGATCCGAACCGCAAAATATGACAGATATTATTAGTCCATAACATTGTTATATGATCAAATTAACATAGATTGCAAAATCAATTGTTCATTTGAAGCAGCATAATTTTTATGTCATATATATGATACATGCTTTCAAAGGACACAAGGGGTAGATCTAGCATTGTTTGCATGTCCCGAGCTAATTAACCGTTCATCATTTTCATCATCACACTTTAATTTTGCAGATCTACCCTCATTTATCATAAGTTAGGACTTTAAAAAATGGCTATTGCAATATCAAATACCATTTGTGATTTTAAAAAATCTGTACAAAAATATCTCAGGGAATAGAGTTTCCTCCATAACGATTTTGGCAACCTAGTACTTATCCATGGCTTATGATATCTGTGTTCCATTCATGTTTTAATTCAACATTGTTTCAGTTTTATCAGAAAATGAAAATCTCAAAATAAATATTTTACAGTCGGTTCATTTTTACTTAAAAATGTTTGTAATCATCAATTTCCTCCGTAACAAAACCAAGTCTGAAATTTTCATGTAATATTGCGGTTTTTAGCTTTCCTGTCACAAAGTGACATGGTGAGCTTTTGTGATTGCTTTTTGTCCGTCTTCCGTCCGTAAACTTTTTACGTAAAAACAACATCTCCTCACAAACCGCGAAGTCAATTTCATCCAACCTTCACAGGAATGTTCCTTTGGTGGTCACCTGTAAAAGTTATTCAAAGAATTTAATTCCATGCAAAACTCTATGGAAACCGAAAGAAAAACTTGAAATATCTTCTTTAAAAAACGCAAAGAGCTAGAGCTTAGATATTTTGCCAGAAAACCATCTTCTATTGAAAGTCTACTTAGTTTTTCAAATAAAAGTTCTGGGGTCTCAGGGTGTCATTGATTTTCATTATATGTATGTAGTAAAAACTAAAAAAAAATCAAATCTTAAAAAAAATAAATTAATAATAATAGCTAGAGCTTATAGATATTTGGCATGAAACATCTTTTAGTGAACGTCTACCAATTTCTTTAAAAAAGCCATAAGGGGTCAAAATTGGCTCCGCCCGGGGGTCATTGATTATCCATTTACGCATATAATAAAAACAAAACAAAGTCATTAGAAACCCAAATTAACAAGTATTCTAACTCAGGTGAGCGATTTAGGGCCATCATGGCCCTCTTGTTATTTAATGCTTCCGAGGGATCACCATTATCAGATTACCAGATATCTACCTAGACTTTTTACACACACAATGTTAATATGATAATAATATAACTTTTTTCTAAAAAAAAATATGACGTTATTTGAGTATTTTGATTCTATTGATTTAATTAGGCTACATTGTGTTATTTTTTTTTCTATTTTAGCTATGATAGTAATTTGTTAAAAAACTTTCCTTCGCAACGAGTTAAACTACTTTTCTTGTGACTTGATAATTTAGTTTAACTAATTGCAATCGACCTTTGACGTATTTTTTGCCACAAAACATCACACTCATTGTTCTTAGTTTATATAATTTATATATTATATGTTTTGAAATAGCATATGGTTTTGAGACATTTAAATGTACGTGTTATAATGACCTGACATTTAAATGAATGGTTAAAGCAGTCAGTAGGCCTAGGCCTATACGAATATATGTGTCCCGACCACACTACCCCCTCTGTTTTTATCACTTTTTAGCTCACCTGTCACAAAGTGACAGGGTGAGCTTTTGTGATCGCTTTTCGTCCGGCGTCCGTCCGTCGTCCGTCCGTCCGTAAACTTTTACTTTAAATGACATCTCCTCATAAACCACTAAGCCAATTTCATCCAAACTTCACAGGAATGTTCCTTTGGCGGTCACCTTTAAAAATTGTTCAAAGAATTTAATTCCATGCAGAACTCTGGTTGCCTTGGCAACTGAAAGAAAAAACTTTAAATATCTTCTTTTAAAAAACCATAAGAGCAAGAGC